CACACACACACACACACACACACACACACACACACACACACACACACGTCCTCCTCCATCTTGAGGTTAAACTGCACGCGAGTTGCAGGCTGCTCTCAGCCAAAATGATGAGGCAAAGTGAAAGAGAAAGAGCGAGCGTGGGCAGAATTACGATGCCACAGATGGCCTCACTTTTCCTGGCGTCCTCTACTCTCCCACTCACCTTACCAACTCCAGTCTGTTCATACAGTYGGACCATATATTTTGTTGCTTTCACACATAAACTGCACTCATACTCACTWTAGTGTGGTACAAATTAAAAACAGCTCCACAAGTATGTAAACTGAAAAACTTCATATTTGAAAATGTGACTGAGAACTGAAAGAAAATCTAAAGAAAATGAAGTTAAARGCCTTAGAGGGCGTGTGGACTGAACATACAGGCTTGTATTCTGCTTTGTGTCGTTGCCTTAAAACAAAGCAGATGTATGACTAATGTTKAACAAATGCAGATTTCATCTGGAGGTTGTTACATTTCCAAAATCGAAGCCCCAGAGTCGGAGTGGGAACTCCCATCGAGCTGGACGCCACGTTCTTCTGGGACTTTTGGCTCGACTTTGTGCRCTGTGGCCCTCAGCACTTCACTAAACAGCAAAATCCTATTAGTCAGTATGAGTGAGTCTAGTTTAAAGCACAAGCTGAGGCCATCCCTACTTGTCTCTCTGCATGGTTCAGATAGCTTTTTAAACTGCACAGCTGCTCTCCCATTTAAAGACAGCTGCACCCAGAGCTTTCAATTTAAAACGCCTGCAGCAGAAAGAAAAGAATTCACATTCTTCACAGAAATCTCATACAAAAATGTCAGAGCTTACAAACAAGTTTAAAACCTGACTTCTAAAGAATAAAGCCATGTGAAGAGGAAATCGGAGCTGATTGAGTTGATGCAAAAGAAACGAGGCAACGATGTAAGCTTTCCTTCACTACATGGACACTAGCCTGGCTACACAGTTTCCCTTCTCCACTTCGTCTGGGTTTTCTCCCATAGACAAGGATTCCTCCTATAGAATTTCAACCGGGCCAATCGGCGCCGTTTCAGTCTGCCTGTAGTTTAGCAATGGCAGCGGAGGAAGTGAATGAAGCCAGGCTTCCAAATTAAACTGAATTAAATTTGTCTCACAAAGCCTGCAGCATCATTTACAACCATCTCATTCAGCTCTGTACTTCTCTCCTCCCAGTAGGGGAGGGTTGTTTACTGTAGTGTTGGGCATAATCGTATCGTGTGCACTTAGTCATCAGAAAAACATTAATTGATTTTTTTGGCACTTGACGATTAAAATGATTAATGCCACCAGTCCGCTCGATGTTAGCCTGGTAAAAACCAGACTCTTGTCCTTCACTTTGCTTCGTACAGAGGGTCTGGACTCGCTGCTATAGAGAAGGGATTCTTGCAGGAGGCGTGGCCTCTGCTGCAGTGTGTGCGTATGTCGCTGTGAAGGAGGCTAAGCTAAAAAGCTAACCATAAATCGCAAGCGCTGTGAACAGCCCCACTGAGAGGAGAAAAGTACCGAGCTAAACAAGACGTCTGTAAATGAGAGCTGCTGTTTTGTCAGACAAATTTAATTTAATTTGGAAGCCTTATCAACATGGACTGGCTTCATTCACTTCCTCCACTGCCGTATGCTAAACTTACTAGCAGACACTGCACAGAACATCTACATAATTCAAAACGCCGCCTTCTGTTTGCTGATTATTTTACCTGGGCCAAACTACAAGCAGACACTGCTCAGAAAATCGACGTTCTGTTCTCTGATTGGCCCAGCTAAAAATCTGCCAGCGAAATCCTCGTCTTTGGGAGAAATCCCAGATGGAGCTGAGAAGCGAAATTAGAATTGAGCGGAGCTGCGTAGGAAGGGAAGGGCCAGGCTAGCTCGATGCTCCTCTCCGCTTCAATGTGATGGATTTAAAAAAAAAGTTCTGTAATTTATTTATCTATCAACACAACTTAAAGTTTGATGTATAGCCTGAAGTTTGTAATTTTGACACAATTTGGAACAGATTTTTATGAACAGCAAATCCTTCCCACTAAATTGGTCATGTGACCTAGTGCTGGGCGGTATACCGGTTCGTACCAAATACAGTTTTTTATTTTTGCTATGTTATGCATTTTCTGAATACCGACATACTGGCTTAAATAGTCTGAACACATGCGGAACATTTCGTTGCGGCCGCCAGTGAACTGTTTCCCGGGGGACATTTTTCTTCGTAGCACCGCTATGTGCGTTAGCATGCTAATGGTATTGTTGGAGTAGTTTGTTTCAGCGGCAGGTGCCAATTCTGCTGCTTATATTGGCTGACGTAAAAAAAATTCAGTTTTCACCATCGCTGAATGTAGTAAACAACTTTTCAGTGACGTGCACGGTTAGATTTAACATGCGACTTTAATATGGAGACGTGGAGACGCATGGAGACTTTGACGTGCTTCTATTGTGAAAAGCCCAGGGGATGTAGCTTYGTAGCGGAGTTGAGTTGACTGGTGTGCAGGGTGAGTCGTCTTGTCCTGATAAGTTTTATTAAATAACATAAAACAATAGACCCGAYAATAATCTTTTCTTAACCCTCCTCCTTCACGACCGGACCAAAATGCATGACTACTGTCTCCAACCACCAAGTCAGAGAAAAGACACATAGGAGGGAAACAGCGACACAGACAGAGGTACAGTAAAAGAGAAAAGTTAATAAGCAGTTTTTGTAAATTTTATTATCAACTGGCCTGTGATGAAAAGAAAAATAAAGTGATATACCGTGAAACTGGTGTAAATGTTGAAAACACTGTGATATAAAATTTTGGCCATACCGCCCAGCACTAATGTGACCAGGACATAAGGGTGTCCAGGGACTCCTGGGGATTAATCGTTGAATTAATTGCTATCTGCTAAATACCACAATTAATCGTGATTCATTTTTTTGCCAATATTGCCCAACCCTAGTTTACAGCGCACGCAATTTCCGGTTAGCTTCTTAGCTTAGCCTCCTTCACTGTCGAGMTGACACACTATATGCGGCCTAACATTAGCAATTGGGTAAATCAGATCCAACCRTTTTAAACTTCAACAGAGTCCACGCCTCCAGCGAGAATTCATTTCTTAACAGCCAAGAGTCCAGACCCTGTGGACGAAGCAAAGTGAAGAACAAGGGGCTGTTTTTTATTTTTTATTTTTATCAGGCTACAAGAACACTATAAACATCTAAAACTTCCAGCACATTGGATTAGTTTGAGTCTTTTTTTTTTTCTTTTATGAAATTACTTACTTTGGAGCAAACAGACGGTTTGTTATAAAATCATCCATCCCCACAGCATCACTTCATAACGCTTCTCTTTGCACCCAGTGATAAAACCAATCTAATTTACAAGTGACAGAATAAAACTGCTTAGAGCAAGAGAGACTTTGATTGTGTCATTTGTGTCAGCAAAACCAACTCCAACATGACTCTGACTCCAGGGTCATGCTGAATAATGGGTACAGGYCATTTCCTCCTGCAGCCAGCTGCTGCAATATTATCTCACCGTTCCTTGTAACAAACACTCTGTGAGGTAACAAAGACAACATTTCATCCTGATCTTTTTCAGCATCACTTTCCCTCCTGCAGTGCTTGCTAATCATTTTAAATCTGCCGTGCCCCACTGACTTTCCAAGTGCCCTTCGTGGTCATCACTTTTTGCGATCAATATGGGTTATTTTAAAACTCTTTAGAATTTATATGTTTTTTATTWCAAGACGGTGTGATCTAACTTTGTTATGGTACAGACAAGAATAAACTAGAACAAGAATGGCTTTTAGTCCATGAAAAGCTGTTTGAGGTTTCCTCTTTAAAATTACATCAAATGTTMCTCAATAGAATAACCTAAAAATAGGATTCAGAAATATCATGAGTTATCCTGTTTAGGAAAACAAATGAAGTCACATCTCTGGAACTGCTCATGATATCAGGATGATCCAGGTATTAAAATGAAGCTTTAAAAGCAGGAATCTGAAAATTTAACTTAATCCTCAGTTTAATGTGATGGGTCGCATTTAAGCCATGCATCCATTAACTTTCACCCTATTTGAACCTTGTTTGCTTGCAAATTTTTACACTTAATCACAGCTTAATTTAACAACTCAGCCTACAAAAATTCAGCTGTCGAAACTAGGGGTGCRCCGATTCCAGTTTTCCTGACGATCTCCGATCTTTAAAAAGTCTCACCTGCCGATTCCGATTTTGGCCAATACTGATGTTTTTAAATAGCCGACACTGTCAGATGTTATAAAGTCACAATAAAACTTCAATGTTCAAATGTTCAATGTTATTTTACTGAAATACTTTGAACAATACCCTTGAAACAATGCAAACTTGTTTTTAACTGGACATTAGGTAGTGYTCACAGCAGAGCAAAAGAGGATAGTGGCTGATTTTCAGACCTTTGTGGAGGCAGAAAAGCTGAYCTTCTCCACCGATCTTATCTAAGGATCGGCTGATCTCCAATCTCCCAAAAGTAAGGAAATCGGCGCCGATAAATCGGCCGGCCAATTTATCGGTGCACCCCTAATTGAAACAAGAAAAAACCCTGTGCACTCATTGCAAAGAGCTGATAAATACCCCAGGTCAGAGGTCTGCAACCTTTATGATCAAGAGCCATTGGTACTGCTTGTCTCACTGATAAAATGTGTCCAGAGCCGCAAAAAAAGCTACTACTGTGATTATCAACTGGTGGTCCATCGGCCTTTTCGAGGCCTTTTGGGAAACCTTTATGGTCAGTGGAGGTGACATTATAAAACAAAAACAAAATTGTTATTATAATTATATTATTTATTACTACACACATCAGAACAAATAAAAAGACCATATTCATGTACACAAGAAAAATACTGTGTATTTTCTACTGAATTTCATAAAAACTAGTACAGCTGAATTATTTTGGCATATTTTTTTCTCATTATGTAGTCTTTAAATTATTTAAAGGTAATTATGATGGATTTGAGAGAAAGATCATAGAAATAAATTGGAATATTTAAGTAAACAACAGGCTAGCATGAGGTAACATGTTTTATTTTTTGTATTAGTAGTATTGCTCACATATTTGCATATAAAATGATTTTTGTTGTTGGTATAAAAATCAAAACAAAAAAAGATTCTGTTATGTTTAGTCACATTTTCAAAGAGCCACATGTGGCCCCAGATCCGCAGGCTGCAGACCCCTGCCCCAGGTGCATATGGGTAGAATATTAATAATCCTTATAATCAGTTGCATAGATAAGATGATAAATTATCATTTAATTTTGTGGCATTCTAAACATCTATTTTTAATGGAGTTCTTACACTGTGACTTATACCTCTGAAGAAAAAAAATTTTTTTTACACGAATAATATCCAACAAGACAAAAACATGTTTTAAAGGAAAAGAAAATAAAAATTGGCCAATTTCCCTAATTTAGATTTATCTGTGCAAACTGCTGTCATGTTCACAATACTTTCATGAAGAAATGACAGCCAGCCAACACGAAGTACATGACAAACAGGGCTTAGGTGTATAAGGTTCTTTTAGTTATGCTTTCAGCAGATMAAATATGTTAAAATAATGGTGACAGGTTCTGAAAGGGCCCCAAACCGTCCAGGGGACAAATGAACAAAAGGTACTTTGTTTCAAAATAATCTACATTAAAAAATACAACCAGGTGTTGGCTTTAGTGGGAGCTAACTTATAGCACTGTGGCTATTTTGGTCACATTAAATGTTATTTTGCTGCCTGAATTGTTTTGGCTAAGTAATGTCATCATGCAGAGCTGCGAACTTGTAATTAACACTGACAGGTCTGATCAAAACAAAACTATAAACGTAGATCGTGTAGCATTTCCAGCTAGTTAGCTTTTAGCATTTTAATCAGTGTAAAACCACAAAACTAGCTTAACCTGCAAAGTCAGTATCAGAAGTTTGGGGTTTTGGGGGTTCATTTAAGATTTTCTTTTTCTTTCTTTTTTTACCTCGAAGACTCCTCGGAGAAGCCGCCGTCCAGCAGCCTGACTTTACAAAAGAGGACACCGTTAACGACGGGGACAGACGACAGCTCATCCAGGTAAAAATCCACCCTGAACTTAAATTTCTTCTTTTTCATCATCATTAGATCCATACACCGTCTCAGTGCCGTCCAGGAGATGCTCTCGTTGGCATTACAGGACCATTGTGTCTTTCTGGTTCAGCCGTAGTGTTGTGGGAGGATGGTGAGGCTACTGATAACAGACCGTCAGTGAGCAAAGCTCACTGAAATGAAARAAGAACCGCTTCCTGTTGGGGGATTTCAAATTAAAATCAAAATAAAACTTTTTACGGCTACCAGCGTTTCCACGTAGCATATTTTTGCAATTGCAGATAACCTGACAAAACTATATTTTACTGTCGGTTTTCTTATTAAATATATTTTTCAAGGTTGCCACGTGTTTGGAAACTTGTCAGCCTTTCTATAATGTCTACATTTTACTTTGAATTATTTGCTGATGTGCCGGATATGAAGTAATGACGACTTCAAGCTGGATCAGCTTCAAAATAAAGCCCGCCTTCCCATCTTCGTCGCCCCCTGGCGGCCAATCAGAAAATGGTAGCAAAAATTGTACAGATCACAAGAAAGTGAAAAAAAAAAGAATTGTTGCACAGAATCTATTCTACAAATTAGTTTATTATGAAATATAAACCCCAACTTTTTTTTATTCCAAAAAGCATCCTGAAACAATCAAGTCATTTATTTTGGAATTGCCATATCAATGACATTTTTTGGAGTAACTAATTTATAATTTGTGATATTGATACTAAATTTTCATTAAGGTATGAGCACAATATTTTTGTTTTTCATGGAAAGAATACTACTCTAAACAGAAGACTGGCAAATATAATTAAATTGTAAGATTTGTCAAATTTCATATTCACAAATAATTTTTGATTATCTTTACTACATTTTGTCAGTTTTAGGTAAAGAAATCGAACTATATTTAAATATTATTTTTAAAAGTAGCTACAAATAGAAAAGCTTTAAATGGGTGCTGTAGAGATTGAGAATAATTAGTTTATCATAATGTTATTTTGTTCTAAATGTATATTTACTGTAGAAGCCTACCCCCTGGCATACTTTGTTAATTATTATGTTTTTTGCTTGTTTGTTTTTTGTTCCCTTTTTGTATTTGTATGTTTGTACAGTAAGATCTTTTAAATTAAAAAAGGATAATGTGGAATTTGTCGCCACCTCGTGGTGTAAACAGGACACTGCAATACAATCGTGTTTCTCTGCACAACTGTAAATAAATTAATAAATTCAATTAAGTTTTTTTTTTAGGGTTTGAAGTATATTCATGAATTTGATTTTAAGAGGAGCTGAACAAACACCATGAATAAATAAAAAAAAAATCCAMTGGACTTTCATGGGATGCATTTTGCAGGGGGTGGTTGTGTGTGTATTTTGGGGAGTGGGGCACATTCCTCGGCTATAACTCACCGATCTAAATCAGATTAGTCACAATGAAAAAAAAAACATCGACTTTGAACCACAGAGCCCACTACAGGGCGGGATTATATTACACGTACACACGTATGAGCAGTCGTTTAGGGAAGTTAAAACACACAGGCATCAACCATGAAGTTTACAATAAATGAATAAATAATTTTATTGAGGTTTGGACATGAAATAAGTCCACATGTAAAACATAAAACATGTGAAGGAACACGATCCTTGAAAACTCCAGGACCAGAGGTTGCTTCACAGATGGGTGTGTCTCTCTGTGTGAGAGAGAGCGCAGTAAAAGAAGGAGGTCTTCCCACAGAACTGAGCTGATGTCTCCACCCTTCTGCCAGTGCCAGCCTACCTCATCCGAACCAGCTTTCTGCAACTTTTTCATTACAGCCTCAGTGTTTACTGTTTTACTCCCCACTCCACCAACTCATGAGGATTTTCTGCCACTTCCTCTCCAAACTGCACCGCGGATTTCCTTCTGCGTCCCGCTGCGTAAAACCAGAAGTGCCAACAACAGAAAGTCGGATCGGATCGTTTCTGGGAGTGGTGTAGCTAATTGTTCAGTCTATCTGTGTGTGTGTGTGTGTGTGAGTGTGTGTGTCTGTGTGTGTGAGTGTAGAGCTCTGCAGGCCTCTGCGGGTTTTTTTTTTTATTTCCTGTTTCCAACAATGTATCCAGTCGTGAGGAAGATGTTTTTCACGGACTCTCGGTGCGCAGGAGATGAGACGAAGACGTACGAGGAGCTGTTCGCCAAACTGGACACCAACAAGGATGGGAAGGTGGACATTTCCGAGCTGAGGGAAGGCCTGGCTGCGATGGGCATCCAAACTGGGACGGGGGCAGTTCAGGTAGAGGGGGGAAAAATTGCGGGGGGGAGGAGGTTCAACTGGGGAGAAAATGTGAAGTATTTCCAAATGAAATGAAATGAGTGGTTGYTTTTTCTCAACATCAAATAGATTCAAGTAGGACTCAGAAGAAGCAGCTTGGTCCATTCACTTCCCCATGGGCGTCAGAACCATTTTAAAAGTTGTGGGGGGGACATGCAGGTTKGGGTGGGGGGTCTGGGGGTCCTCCACCAGAAAATTTTAAACAAAATATATGCCTTTTTCTGCATTCTGTTTTTTTTAACCAGGTTCTTAAACATACTATTACATACATAAATAAACACTTGATTTAATTATTATTTCAGAAACAGATTCTTCATTAAACTAGTTCCATCATCCTGTTTTAAACTCACCGCTACAGCTGAGATAAGGTTAATTGATGCGACACAATTTAACATATCCAGTGACTTTAKGGGTGCCTTTCACTTTCATATTGTTTATTCTTGATTTATTTTAAATTGTAACGTGTCATTGTGCCAAATGACCATTAACTGCATGTTTAAAACTAATAATAATAACTTTGCCCAATGAAAATGTGCAATATTGATAACCACCAACAGTGAATTTGGAGGTGCATTTCACTTTTTATGATTTAGTGATAGGTTTACTCATAACCAAAAGGAACAGGGCATCATGCAGCTTTCAGAATATAAAATGACAGTGTTATGGTGACAAAAATAAAAAATAAAAATTCAATAAAACAAAAAAAAACATTTGTCAGTTTTAAAACTAAACTGGAGGCGGAAGAGTTATTTCACCCACTAGTTACAGTGAGTGGGCCGCTCCAATAGTGTGCATACCTAAAAAGGATGACAGTGTGAGAATGTATGGAGACTAGAAGGTCACCATAAATCCATGGTTAAACGTGGATCAGTATCCTCTTCCAAAAACACAAGATTTGTTACCAAACTAGACTTATCTCTGGCTTATCAGCAAGTCCAGTTAGAGGAAAGCTCTAGGTGTTTCCTGACCATAAACACGCACAAAGGGCTGTATCAATACAACAGGTTGCCTTATGGTGTTGCGAGTGCCCCTGCAATTTTCAAAAAAAATAATGGATCAAGTACTTCAGGGCATGGATGGTGTTATGTCTCAAACCCTGGTCTCCTGCTCTCTGGTCCAACACTCTATCCATTGCCCTATTGGAAGGCCACAGTGTACAACCGTTGGGATGGTGTCTTTAGCGCTAACCATGTCATTTGCTCTAAAGTTAACCTTAGTGGCTTTAAGCCTCATATTAACCAGTTTTTCATGCCTCGTGTTAACCAGATAGTGGTTTTGTGCCTCATACTAACCAGCTGACAATCAAAAGCCATTCTATGGGACGGGGAACMTSCTAACCGGCACAGTCGGGACATTCTGAAGCCATTCTAGGGGACTGATAACGCCTATTAACGTCCWTTTCATGGATAACATCCAAAGYGGGTGGWTATCTATCTTGATGATATCTTAACAACTGGTAAAAATGCAGAAAGCCACCTGACTAACCTAAAAGAGGTCCTTAAGAGGCTCGAAAGCTACAACCTCAGGGTAAAGCGAGAAAAATGTGAGTTCATGCAAGACAGTGTTGCATATTTAGGACAAATCATTGACGCCACCGGCATTCATCCTATGAAGGAAAASACAACTGCCATTCAGAAGGCTCCATTTCATGTAACTGAACTGAGGTCATTTTTATCTCTGTTAAACTACTGTGGGAAGTTTATACCAAACTTATCAACTCTGATCCAGCCAATGTCAGTAATGCTGCACAAAGATGCAGACTGGATTTGGTCAGAAAAATGGCAAAATGCTTTTGAGAATTTGAGAATGCAATGAAAACACTTCARTCTGACAAAATCTTGATGCATTTTGATGCAGAGTTACTAATTATCTTAGCATGTGATGCATCTCCTTATGGAGTTGGTGCTGTAATCAGTCACCAAATGAAAGATGGAAGTGAAAGACCGATTGCATTTGCCTCAAGACAGAAMAAAACTACTCTCAGATTGMAAAAGAAGCACTTGGTTTAGCRTTTTGTSTTRTGAAGTTTCATGACCACCTTTATGGAAGGAAATTCRTTTTTGGTGACAGACCACAAACCATTGCTAAAAATATTGGGACCAAAAACAGATGTGCCTACGCTAGCTGCTGCTAGATTGCAAAGGTGGGCTCYAATCCTAGCTGCACAYAAGTACGAAATCCAGTACAAAAGATCTGAGCAGCACAGTAATGCTGATGCTTKATCAAGGTTACCAATGAAASCAAGTGTGGATGTGGTGTCAAACCCTATTTACAAAATATCCTACCTTGACAAGTTACCGATCACTGCAAGTTACTGTTCCTTTAGGATGCTTCAAGCCCCACCCCACTCCGGCTTCCAAACCGGTTCGCTCCAGTTTGAGAGAGAGAGGTTACGTTTTCTAGCAGTAAAGAAACGTTTTATTTACAATTTCTTTTTATTTACAATCAACAGAAGGCTTTTTAATCCATTTCGTAATTATAAATTTATCACAAATGTGCATAGCGAAGGTCAAACGAGTAAACGCTGAGGTTGCTGTGAAAATGCCACTGTAATTGTGCAAATTCAACGAGCTCAAAACACACGAAAATTCTCATCTACGATCTTAAAGGAAAATTTTAACAAATCAGTTTAGAGTAAATACATTGGGGCTGCATAACRGCGTAAATTTACATGTTGAATTTACTTTTTCCCAAAAAATCTCTAGACCCTTCTCGATAAACGCGTAAGKTCAGCTTGCTTCATGCTTGTGATGATTTCTAACTACGAAATGTTCTATGAAAGAGGAGGAAATTGTAATCGGTAAGTCCAGACCTTATTTGGTAATTTCGTTGCAGACAGCTGTAATAGAGTCAGAAAATGTCATAGACCAGAGGGGGGTCAAACTCATTTTCACCGAGGGCCACATGAGCGTTATGGTGGCCCTCAAAGGGCCAGTTGTTCCCATGGATGATCGACATGCAATATGGGAGATTAAGTTTGTGGTCGATGCGAGACTTAAAGCAGCTTATTTTAAGACATTATAAGACATTATTACTGAGCTATCGAACTAAACTGCTCAGTTACATACTGTATAGCCAACAGCTCATGGACAGGATAAGGACTATTATCTTTCACCTTCTAAGTTTGTTTATTTTGTTACATTTAACCATAAATTTCAAGTTTACCATTTATATAAGAAACAATTTTCATATTAAGTATAAAAAAGTCGGGGGAAAAATTTTTTGGCGGGCCAGACAGGAGTCATCCGCAGGCCACATTTGGCCCGCGGGCCTTGAGGTTGACGCACGTGTCATAGACAACAGAGAAAACTGAACAGGTTGAAAAATCTGACCCAAACAGAAAATAAATAAATCTTTACAACACCAATAGAGACTAAATTAAACTTTTCTGCACTCAGAGACTCCAAGTCCAAAACAAAATGTATTTAACAGCTAAAAAAGTGGATTTAGCGTGATTTGTCCCCTTTAAAGTTCAAACCGTGAACYAATCTGGTGGGTTGTGGCTTTTCTGATCAGATAATGTGGCTCTCCTGAAGTCAGGAGTAAATGTTAGGAGGGGTCACTGCTTTGTGTAAAAAGGTGCTGATAGAGTTTCAGTTTTGCTCCCACTGATACGATAAGCTGCAGTAAAACCATCCACTGGCTGCTTCACAGCTAATCTATTTAAGACATTAGTAATTTTCATTTGTTTTAAATGTGGCAGTCAAACGTGGGTGTAAAAGTTATATTTAAGCAAAGCCGAACATTTCAAAATAAAAGCAACAAGCATAAAATCTGTTCCGTAGTGGTAATGAGGCCAAACAGGAGGGCACAAAGGAAGTGCAGATAAAGTGAAGCAAATCTTCCTGTTCTTCTGCCCCCAAGTGGCAGAACCAAGCAGCTGCTGCTTGAAGAAGAAATGGTTCAAAATGCCTCCTTTTGCAGCAGATCTCAAACCTCTTCCTTCACCTCTTCAGGAGGTCAGACACCCGGCTGCTAACACGTTCGACACGACCACTTCAGCAAGCCTGACTGATAAGATTTTGTGTTTCTTTGGTTGTTTTATTTCCTCCCCTCAGAAAATCATTTCCTCCGGAGACGAGAACAAAGACGATTCGCTCAACTTCCAGGAGTTCTCCAAGTACCTGAAGGACCACGAGAAGAAGCTACTCCTGACTTTCAAGAGCTTGGACAAAAATAACGATGGTACGGTTCAACAGCATGAGCTTGACTCTAATTAAAGAAGTTAAATGCTGAGAATCTAAAGCTTTGTTTTTTTTTTTTTTGTTTTGTTTTTTTACCAGGCAATATAGACTACATGGAGATAAAGCAGTCGCTCGCAGATCTGGGGATGGACATCAGCGTCGAGGACGCAAATAAAATCCTTCAAAGGTATGTCAGCTCGTAGTTCTGCAGACAAAAATGTGAAAAAATAGTCTTCGCCGATCAAGTGGCTCTGCTGAGAACATTTGTGGAGGTAAAGAAAGAACAAAACGTGTCGTAAACTCACACTGAAACTGTAAAGAGTGCAACAGAAATTAAAGGTGGAGACTCGTGTGAGGGACTGATAACTGGGGGGGGTCACATGATAAAGAGCTGGTCTCACACACACACACACACACACACACACACACACACACACACACAC